GGCTGGTGTACAGATGAAGTTATTTGTTTTTTAGGTGATACAGATGTAGCATCTGCCAGGTAAGGTGGCTTAGCTGTCTATCTCAGCTTTGGGACAGGGGCTGGGGAGTGTGCATCTATACAATGGCGTTGTTTTTTATGAGGTTAATTCATCACCCACGTCAGCCTGAACTGGCACTAGGTGGCTGGCAATTCAGGCCTGTGAACAAGGTCTTTTTCACTTCCAGGAATGAGTCAGCCTGCAATAAGGCTGAAGTGTCTCAGTGAGTTTGCTGGAATTAACTTCAGAATATAATCCTTAGCTCCCTAAGGATGATCTATTTGTTTTTCTGTTCAAGAAATTGCTTGTAGGCATTATGTTCCACATTTTTCTGTTTCTCAGGAAGTATCTTCACCTAGATCAGTTACATTTTGCCTATGGTCAAGATTTGTAAAAATATATACCCAAAGCTCCTAAACAAATCTGACTGTTTCCCAAAACTGCTGAGCATCTTCAGCTCCCTATGACATCAGTAGCAACTGAAAGAGCTATGCACTTTGGAAAATTAAGCCACATTTAATGTACAAAGCATGTTAGGGATTCCCACATCAGGCTCAGTGAGAGAGCAGGAGCTGTGGACACAATACTCCTCTGGCAGGTGAGTGAAAAGAGCATTGAGAGGGTGGGGCAAAGAGAGATAAAGGAAGAAGTGGGCTGAATCTTATCTCTGGGAAAACCCCTCCCATTGCTGTAGTAAGTGTCTACACCAGGGCGGGCAAACTTTTTTGCCTGAGGGCCGCATTGGGTTTCGTAAATTGTATGGCAGGCCGGTTAGGGGAGGGGATCGTGGCCCGGCCCCCACCTCCTCCCTCCCCCCCCATCCAACCCTCCCTGTTCCCTGACGGCCCACCCGGGACCCCTGCCCCATCCACACACCCTACTCCCCGACCACCCCCGTACTCCCATCACCCCATCCAACCCCTCCTCTCATTCCTGACAACCCCTGCCCCATCCAACCCCCCCCTTCTCCCCTGTCCCCCTGTCCGACCCCGGAACCCCTGCCCGACTGCCCCCTGCCATCCCATCCAACCTCCCCTTGCTGACTGCCCCCCCAGGACCCCTGTCCCCATTCAACCACCCGTTCCCCACCCTGTGACTACCCCAACCCCTATCCACATCCCCAGCCCCCTGACCACCACCCCAAACTCCCCTGCCCTCTATTCAACTCCCCCTATTCCGTGCCCCCTTACCGCGCTGCCTGGAGCACCGGTGGCTGGTGGCGCTACAGCCACGCCGCCGCCGCCACACAGCACAGAGACCGAGTCAGGCCAGGCTCTGCAGCTGCGCTTCCCCAGGAGCTCGCAGCCCCACCACTCTGAGCATTGCACCGGCAGCGGGGCGAGCTGAGGCTGCAGGGGAGGGGTCGTGGGCTAGCCTCCCGGGCCAGGAGCTCAGGGGCTGGGCAGGACGGTCCCACGGGCTGTAGTTTGCCCACCTCTGGAATAGAACCATTCCTTAGCATTGTCAGGGCTTGTGAAGGTGGGCACATATGCACTGATGATGGTAGCAAATCATGACTTATTTAGCGGTAACTGGAGTTTCTTGAGTCTTTCGTTGGTGCCTATTGGGAAGTCTTCAAGACATTGCAAGAGTTTGGTTTTGATGGCAATTCCCAATCCATGGAGTCTATCTTTGTGTGGTTCTTTCCCCTTCCAAACTCCCAGCCGATTCTGTAATAATGCCCTTGTCTGCCAATCTAGTTTCACTGAGTGCTGCAATGTCAATGTCATACTGGGCTAGTTCTTTTGAAAGGAGAGCTGTTCTTCTTTCAAATCAAGAGGTATCGTCTTTGTCTATCATAGTCTGATGTTCCAAGTAGCAATCTTTAGTATTGGTGTCCATACAAAGGGGTACTGAGCCAAGTTACAAGTAGCTTTAATGTAGTAAACCATTAATAACCATAATTTTACAGAAAAAATGTAAAGATTACTCTGTACAGACAGAGCTGTCACTCAAAGGACATTTTGAATCAGTCAAACTTACAAAAAACAACATGCAAGAAATGTCTTGCTGAAAAATGACACAGAAAACATTTAAAAGGGAGAGAAAATGCTTCTAAATCTTTAAATAAGAGAGTCAGTCGCCATCTAACACAGAACACGCTGAAGTCTGGATTTGCAACATCATATAGATCCAGATTCAAACACCCTTATTCATACTGCGTAATATCTTACTTTGAGATTTGAGCCCTACTGATTTCAATGGGACCATTTGCTAAGGAAATTTCCACTCTCCCTTAGTAAGGGTGTCAAAATCTAGCCCATAATTTAAATACTATTGTTTTAAAACCAGTGAAGGAGGAATGACATCCTCATTTTGGCAACTGTCAGACTTTTTTCTCTTTAAAAGCCAGCCACTCCTTGCCTCCCAAGAAAAACATAACCAATAAAAACCCACGCCCCACTGTGGTCTTCCCAGTTCACCGTTTATTACTATAAAAATCAATATTTCCACTTTTTCAATTGTCATATCTAACATTTAAATAGTCTGTCATTTTAATAGAGCTAGTCCTAATCATTCATAACAACTATATACATTTGTTATATAACACCCCTCATCCCAAAGTTCTTTAGAAATTATATACATATAGCATGAGTGAAATCACAAGAAATGATGCCCAAAGATACCCCTCCTTTTTTATGCTCTGTCATCTAACAGTTGGGGAGTCAGAGATGACCAATAGCAGCGCTCTGAAAATGAAGGAACTGCCCAGCATTGTCACAGTAGTTTTCAGGCCCCTACAATCAGGGATGAGGTTGAGTGGCCAGTCACAGAATTTTGTGTTGAAAATGCAGTAAGTGCATTTGCATCAAAGAGAAGCTAGAACTTTCGCCAGTTGCATAGGGGACAACTCATACTTCAAAGCTCCTGGGTAGGTTTATAATAAAATAATAAGCCATGAAATAAATGTCAATGCTGTCACCTGTGATCAGGTATCAGAGTTCAGACTCCACTGAGCTGAACAGAGACAAATTCACGCTTCTCAGAGTTGTTGTTTCAGACTGCCTGCAGACTCAGGAAGACAAAACTGTACTGTACTAGTCTTGGGTCATGTTTGTAAGGCTCTGTATAACTAAATGAATTTTAAAGGAAGCTTAGAATCTGGAAAACAGTGATTGTGGGGCAGTGACTGATTCTATGTCAGACTACATGGCAATGTAAGAAAAAGCATACATAGGGTTCTGATTATTTCAAACAGACATGGACCAATTATTTTCATACTATCAATGGGAAGAGTTGCTTGGTTTTGTCTATTGCAAAAACTTAACCAGATTAAAATTACAGTACCTGTTATGTGAGCATTAATATAAAACTCAGAATAAAAATATTAAACACTTTTTGTTTTATTGCAAAAGAGGAATCAAACTGAAGTTTTTCACCACTTGGACAGTGGGAGACAGTTTTCTGTTTATTTTTCTGTGTATTATAAGATCTCCCATTAGTTCTCTTGGAAAGAGGAATAAAGGGTGAGGAGAGGTAAGAGTACACCACATGTTACAGGTAACCCCCCCTAATTTATTTCAGTGGGCACTGGTCAAAAAATTTGGCTCCTTTCCAGTCCTTTGCTAGCATAAAAGTGAAGTTCATAGATGCAAAGGCCAGAAAACAGAGGCCATAGAACCTCCCCAAAATAATTCCTAGAGCAGATCCTTTAGAAAAACATTCAATCTTGTTAATGATGGAGAATCCACCATGACCCTTGTTCCAATGATTACTCTCACCGTAAAAAAATTTACATCTTATTTCCAGTCTGAATTTGTCTAGCTTCAACTTCCAGCTATTGGATTATAGTATATCTTTGAGCCCATTATTAAATACTTGTTCCCCATATAGGTATTAATAGACTGTAATCAAGTCACCCCTTACCTTCTCTTTGTTAAGCTAAATAAATTGAGCTCCTTGAGTCTATCACTATAAGGCATATCTTCTAATTTTTTTTTTACTAATTCTTGTAGCTCTTCTCTGAACCCTCTCCAATTTATCAACATCCTTCTTGAACTGTGGAAACCAGAACTGGATACAGTATTCCAGCAGTGGTCACACCAGTGCCCAATACAGAGGTAAAATAACCTCTTTACTCCTACTGGAAATCCCCTGTTCATGCATCCCAGGATCAAACTAGCTCTTTTGGCCACAGAATCACACTGTCACTGAGCGCTCATGATCAGCTGATTAACCACCAAAACCCCCAAATCAAAGAGCAGTCACTGCTTCCAAGGATAGAGTCCTTAGTCTTGTAAGTATGTCCCACATTCATTTTTCCCAGATGTATACATTTACAGTTAGTATTTGAGGTGGGCCCAAACAAAACACTGGGATCTATAGACACCTGGACTTTGGGAAATCTCAGCTCACTATCTGGACTTTACATTTCTGGACCATTTTTACTTATTACATCTGTTAAATTTTTGGGATGAAATCTTGGCCCCAAAGGCAATGGCAAAACTCCCATGGACTTCAGTGAGGCCAGGATTCCGTCCTTGGTGCCTGGATTTGCTAGCTAGAAGTGCATATTTTATGCAATTGCTGGAAAATTCTGCATCTCTCAGAACCGTGCAGTTAGTTGGAATTGCATTTTCTCACAAGACTCCTGTGAACACATGTTTAGTCTCTCTGGAACTGTTACCAAAGAATTCTGAACAAACGACCACTCATGTCAGTGATAGTCTCTCCCTTGATTGTAGTTGACAGTTGAATTGGACCCAGAGTGAATTCAGCTGGACTTTATCAGCATGAAAGAGTATTGCTTGCTTGTGGGGCTGCTGATTTTTAGAATCATCTTTCCTTCCTACTTGTGATGGCAGCAAAGAGAAAATTTAGAGCAAGGAGTGAAAATGGTTATTTGCAAAATCTTTTTGGCAAATGCATTCTCTTCAACTTTAGGCTTTATTTTTTTTCTGTGTAAACAGTTGTTTCTTGACATCACTATATAAAGACATTGGGAATAATTTTCTTTTTAGGATGATAGTCCGTCTCTTTTACCCATCAAGGATCATATCTGGAGTCTGTTACAATAACTAGTAAAAAAAAAAAAAAGAAAAAAACAACCAAATAAGAGGCTCAACATACAATGCAAATTAATTGAAGCAATTCTTATTACAATAATACAGTTAGGAGAAACAGTTGTATCCCCGTTTTATCTATTAACTACATTGCAAATTTGCTTAATTTTTCAAAACCCTTATTATCCAAACTTATTATTTCCCCATGCTTACAAAGGTTGAACTGTATGTGTATTCTGGGCCTGATTTACTGTCCAGGCTGCAGGCTTCAACTGGCAGAAAGTCTTCACCTCTGTCAAAGCCCTGACTTAGCAAAGCACCTAAACATATGCACAAATTAAGTACAGAGATAGTACATAACTTTTAGCATATGAGTAGTCCCACTGAAGTCACATCAAGTGAAAAAGGGCTTCCTTACTCAATGCATGCCTATTAAAATAGTATATTAAATTAAGCAGGGAAGAGCTGCATTGAAGCAGCTAAGGTAGTACATGCTTGAACACTGCATCTTTAAAAAGTTTAAAATTTTGGTAAACAGTGCTCTCATTTTTATCTTGGAATCCATTCGTCTGAACCCTGCTATCCCTGGATGCTGATGATACCCATGTACACTGTACTTTACTATTCAAAGTTTTTATAACCTGATAGTCACATGTTCCCAACAGACATGGACTAGAATCGCTTGTAAATTTTTATTCCAGCAAAAACACATAATATTGGGCACTATGCCTCCAAAAGAGCTTTGCTATTAATTCTTTCTGAAGCATGGAGCCCTTAATTAATAAAACACACGTCTGTATAGCACTTTTCATCCTCCCAAAACACATGACAACCTGTGAACTTCCTTGTGCACATATTTGTTAGGTGCTGCTGCTGCTAAGCTAACTGAGGTAAACCCTAAAACAGCTGGCATGAACAGCTATTTACATCAAGCAATGACTCTCTCCAAAGTTGGGAAATACGGGATTCTAATTTGAAATAACATCCTCCTAAAAATATACATACAATCAATGACTTGTTTTGTACTGACTGGTTACCTGAGGATTTTTTTTAAAAAAAGAATTGTCCTTTTGGTCCAAATTCCATTTTTCTAATAGCAACCTATTTAAAAGGAAAAATAAGGAATGTAAAATTATCACAGCATTTTTTCCTAAAAGAAGGTATCTAGTTATATAGTTATTACTATGTCTCTCCAATTAGCTCTTGACATTGCTTAATTTGTAATGAAAGAGGTGCTGGGCTTCAAACAATTTTTTTTTACATAACTTTATGCAGCAAGCCCAGAGGTACCAGGGCTATGAATTGCCAACCTAGAGGTGCCAGGGCTCAGCCCTGATAAGCCCTGGCACAATTTAAGCACTGGCCCTGGGTGACATCACTATGACATTGTAGGAACATAAGGATCAGTTCAGTTGTACTTGTTGAAATTGATTTGTTGTGGACTTGTTGGGTACAAGAACAGATGATACTTTTCAGAGCACTATAAGGTTGTTTGTAAAATTATGCAAGTTTGTTAGGTTTAATTTTTTAAATCATTTATGTCTGAGTAATGCCCTTCTCCCTATGTGCCATATCTTTCTGTGATAAGAGCTTCTAATGGTGGCAGGAAATACAGAAGGGGAAGAGGACGGGGAGGAGAGAGAAATTGTCTGGGAGTCACTGGCATAGTGATGATAACTTAAACCATGAGGATAGATTAGGCTGCCTTGAACTAAAGCACCCAGAGAGAAGTGATGAGGGGCCAGCACTGAACCCTGTGGAACCCTGACAGAATGTGGAAGCAAAGAACGTGGAGCAGCCACAGGAGATGCTGAAAGAAAAGTTGCAAGTAGAAAGAGATACTATGCAGAAGATGGTAGAGGGTCACAGAAGTCACAAGAGGATGAGACCAAGGGAGCAGGTACTGGTGTTGGCAGAGAAAGAGTAGGACTGATGCTTCAGATTCTGAAATCAGGCTGACGGAGAGTGGAGAGTGAAAGGGAGGAGGAAGCTCACATCAGATAGAGTCACTTTTCTCTTTGAAGAAGATAGGAACCAAGCACTACCTTGTTCTGGTAGGGAAGAGGGGAGAGCTGAACAAAAAGATCAACCTCACAGAATTTTTCACTTAGGAAAAGGGAGAGAGACACACACCCACAAGAGACAGAGATATTAGTCATGTAGCTCAGTGCACGTCTAGAAGATGCTCAGATACTGGTGATTGGTTGTGGTATAAGAACAGAAACTCTAGAGGAGGCAGTCTGCATGGATGTCCCTTCCTCACACGTAAAAATAATGCCATGAGCACAAGAAACAAATATAGGGGAGATAAAATGATTCTTTTGTAAGAAGCAGAAATTGGTAGCCAGATATTCTTTAACCATGTAACTTCCTCCTTGGCTCCCTCTATGAAAGAAAAGCAGTATTTATTGAAAGATCCTGGATAGATACTCACCTAAAAGATTTTGCCTGCATTAAAAAGCTTCTGGCTTTTGCTACTTCTTGAGCAAGTTTCTTTAAATCATCTCCTTCGAAGAAAGGAAAAACTGGATCCTAAAATATAAAATTAAAATGTGGTTGCTATAATCTACAGCAATTGCTTACAAATCTTAGGGCAGCAAACAAATGTAAATAATTGAACCCAAACTTCTGAACTTCACACTCACCAGGCCCAGACAAGATCTTCTATTTATGAAGAGATAAAACAGACTGTTTAACTCCAAATTCTACTTGAGATGGATCTGGTCTTTATTTTTATTAAACATTTCTATTGCAATAGTGCCTGGAGGCCTCAATCAGGTTGGAGCCCCAGTATACTAAGCACAGTAAAAACATAGTAAATGACAGTCCCTGTCCCAAATATTTTATAATCTAAAACCAAGACATAATAGATGGATAAAACATAAATAGGTGGTAGTGAGGAGGACAGCCGAACTTTGATACAACTCAGGGGTATTCAGATCCAGGGTTTTGGTTTGCTCTCATTTCCAAATTCTTCTGTATCTTAGGCCTAGTCTTCACTTACCGGCTGGTCCGGCGGC